GGGGCGGGCCCCAGCCATTTAAATTTAAATGAAGCCGCGATTATTTTAATCGCGGCTTCATTTCCCTTTTCCGATCTGGCTAATCTACATGCCTCCGTCGAAGGAGGCATGTAGTCTAGACACACCCTATGAGAGAATCTGGAGGGTTGTTGAGTATGGAGGTGGAGAAGTATGTAACAGTTGTTTTTTGTGGGAGGGAAGAGAGGGATGGCTAAAGAGTTGGGGAGCCTCCTAATTAAGTCCTGGCTAATACCTAGTTTCTCGCATTCATTCAGGCACATCTGCCCTGTCAGTCTATCCCTGTCGCTTCCACTATTTTGACCCCCAGTCTGTGAGCTCCACAAGCAGCTCTGTGTGCCCCAATTGGTCTGTCGTCCCCTCACCTGGCACCTCTGGTATGTCACTGTAAGGAAAAAGTAGCCTCTGCTTTTTCCCTTGACTTGGCTGGCTGCTCCTGCTAGTGAGCTAGCTGCCTATTTTCTGGTGCCACAGCAGCCCCTGGTGGGAAAAAATGCAATTGCAGCACCTCTCTAGCAGAATATATTATTCTGTAGAGAAAATAAATCTGTGGGAGACATGAATTCTGTACATGCACAGTGGTGCAGAGTTTCCCCCAGGAGTAAATATAGATGACTGCTGTCCCTCCTCTGGTCTGGAAACCCAGAATATACCTCAGTTTGTAAAGTTCAGCTATTAAAGAGTCGGGGGGTACGTGGAGTTTAATTTAAAATACCCCGCTCTACACATTTAAATTCATTTTGGTGTGTGGGGATGATTTAAGTCCCCACTACCAGTTAACTTCTGCCCTCTTAACCCTTAACTTTTAACCATCCTCCCAACTTGATAAAATATCTGGCAAGTTCAAGTTGTAATGGACGAAAGTGGGCGTGGACAGTAGGTTTCAAGACAGAGGTCCCTTCTCTGAAAGTCCTGCTGCCAACCACCTTTTTTAAATCGCATGACAGCAATAAATAAACTCTCTTGCTCCCCATGAACAGAATTTGGTAGTCTGTGCTGCTCAGTACGGATTGCAGCAGGAAGGGAGGAATTTATCCAAGACTAGATGATCTAATTATCCTTTCTGGCAGAGATGTCAGGTTTACAGCATCACAGTTCAGAGGTATAAATATGTTGCGGCAAGGATCATACAGTTTCCATAATCAGGTTTTTCAAAGGGGCTGCATTTTAAAGATCTTGCTTTCTGCTAATTGGGACTGCTCTGCTGCGTTAGAGGGGGAGCCAGGGAAATACCTGTTGCATGTGAAAAGGATGCAGTCCCTGATGCAGCATGTTATTTTCAACATATATTTAAACTGCCCCTTTAGTTCACTCTTCTGTGATCTTCCCATCAATTTTTTGCAGCACTTTTAGCTCCTGAAGCAGTTCTAAGCCCAGATGTTCACAAGGGAAACTTCCTCCAATTACCCTTACTTTGGGAAGCTGCTGGTAAAAACGGTTCATTGCTTTTCAAAATCCCTGGCTTGCTTTCAAGTTCTTTTAAAGAATCTTCAATGTATATATGTTAGGGATGTTAACGGTTAATTGATGGGCTGGAGCAGCCCCCTGTGGGTAGAGTACCGGTAGGGCTGGAGCAGCCCCCTGTGGGTAGAGAGCTGCTCCTGCCCAACAGGCCTGCAGTACCGCGGGCATTAGGTGCTCCAGCTCAGCCAGAGCAGCTTCAGCCTGGCCGGAGCAGCACACGCCACTCCGCAAGTGCGGGGGCTCTCTGTCCAGGCCAGAGCTACTCCTGCCTGCATTGTGGTGCCTCTGCAGTCCGTCTAGCCCTGTTCAGGCAGTTAACTGATACAGCATAATGTTAACTGATTCAATGGGATTTGACATCCCTGGTATACGTGACTTTCTTTACATAGTGCCAGCATTAAGATCACCTGCTCCTATTAAATCCTAAATTTGTGTGTCTTTTCCCTAATTTGAAATGTCCCCATTTTGTGTGGGCACTGTTGTAAGGCAAAGCTTCTGAATTAGTTGTCTGGCTATGGTGTTAAATTCAAAAATGGAATAAAAGTGTGATTGGAAAATGTTTTGCTTTGCATGAAGATATACTTGTGAGGAAGCTATACAAGCCTCTAAATATTACCATAGGATGTCAAGCAGTAAGACTCTTCCCCCGCCCGCCGCCATGTGATTATGTAGACGTGTTTGGGCACAGCTTGCTTTTCGTTCCATTTGTTCTCTCTGTCTCTCAAATATGAACATGTCCTGCAGGACAGCAGAATGACATTATACATCATCTGTGTCCACAGGCTCTGCCCTCTCATGGGCTCGCTCCCCTGGACATTGTTTGGGGACCAGCAAAGCTCCCAGGCAGCCCAGCCTGAGCAGATTCCACCTCCCAAGGGTCTTGGCCATTCAGCTCTGGCTGCAGCCGTTCAGGCGGCCTGTCCCCTGGCTGGTGCAAGGCCTGGGGCACAGCCCTCCCACTCTGGGAATGGAGGCAGGCTCCCACGCCCTGGGGTGCCGCAACTTGCTTCAGGGCCGCTTGCTTGTGCTGCTGCTGTTCTTGGCACTCATGGGCTGCTGGACCAGCAGGCTCGGGAGAAGCGCAGGGTACAGGGCGAGGTGCCCCACATTCCTGGCCAGCCCTCCCCCCCCATCTTCTGCTGTGCCCTGCGTGGCCGTGTCCTGAGCCCAATGCTGAGCCGCCCCAGTGTGATGCAAGTCCAGTCCGTCTCTCAAGCCCAGACTTGCTCCTTCCCACCCAGCCACGCGTCGGGCTGCAGCAGCGAGGGCCCCGAAGCCAAGTAAAGTGCCTCCCACCCGTCATGCCGAGACCCCACACTCCCAGCCCACTCGTGTCCCCTGCCCCCAGCCAGACACCATGCCCCCAGCCTTCTCCTGCACACTGTCTCCCACCCTGACCTTGCACCCTCAGCCCCTCCTGCACCCTACTTCCTGCCCACATCCTGCACCCCCATCCCTATCCCACTCACTGGCAGCCCTGTCCTGCTCACTGAACCCCTCATTCTTGGCCCCGTCCTAGAACCTAGAGGGGCCCACAAAATCCACTAATCCTGGAACCCTAGAAGAGTTAATCTGGCCTGAGGCCTGGAACTTCGGTCTTGCTCCCCCTCCTCCCCCCACGAGGCTGGAACGCCAAAGGAGTGAGGTGTTTTAGTTGGTGGCCGCATCAGTGAGTGTTGGGGGATTTCGGAGGGGCGCTTTTTCCTTTTCATTTGTGTGCTCCCTAACTGATTTTTCTATCGGTCAGTAGCCCCTGACCCAAAAAAGGCTCTCCATAAACTAATATCTAAAAGTTCATGCCCTCTCGTATCAGACATCAGTGTTACAGGCAGTCCCCGGGTTACGTACAAGATAGGGACTTGTAGGTTTGTTCTTAAGTTGAATTTGTATGTAAGTCGGAACTGGTACATATTGTAGGGGAAACTCTAGCCAAACATTTCTCCAGAGCTCAGTTTTATTCTCCCACACCTCACTTCCCTCAGTTCTTTATTCTCAAGCTGAGGTGTCTGCTGAGAAAAGCCGCTCCGCGTCTCCCTGGTCTGCTGAGGGGGGCGCTAGGTTCGCATCTCCCTGGTCTGCTGGGGGGAAGCAGCTAGTGCGGGGTTGCCTCACCCCGTTTGTAAGTAGGGCTCCGATGTACGGTAAGTCGGATCCATGTAACCCGGGGACTGCCTGTATTGAAAATGAAGCCTGGCCAACAAGGCCCCAGTCGGGGTTGCAGTGTCCTATCCTGGTCCCGATCCTGGGGAAGGACCCGCGGTCCAGCCCCTATTTGACTGCAGAAATGGCTGGTGGCAGCCCCCCTCCTGCTGTGGCGTGGCTAGGAGGAGAGGCCACGATCTGGCTGTGGCAGGCAAAGGGGTGGTGGTGAGCGTAGCAAGCAGGGGGCGCAGCCCCTTAGTATTTCTTTAGATTGGTTTAAAATGTGGCCACCCAGAAACCTGGGTGCCTAATGGTGCAGGATTTGGTGGTTAAAGACACAGAGCACTGCATTGAAATGGTTATGACAAATCAATCCAAGTATATTTTACCTCCAGTTCCTCAAAGCAGAATTTGCTTTTACATTCACTACTCATGCAGAAGCAGACTAATTTAACCATATTTTTCTTCCAGGGCATTTGCTTGTTAAAGGAAATCAAGAAAAAATGTCAAAATCATTGAAAAACTACATTACAATTAAGGTAATTGTTATAAAATAGAGAATTTTTCGTGTGTGGGGGTGTTTAATATGCTATAACTCATTATGGCCCTGATTCAAGAAAACACATGGACACATGCTTTTATCATGTATTTAAATCAGGGGTGGGGAGCCTAAGGCGCAGGGGCCGGATGTGGCCGCTGGGTTGCCTGGATCTGGCCCCTGAGGCTTAGGTCTTCCCCCAGTATTGGGAAGCCCATGCTGGCACTTCAGCTCCCCTGCCGCCTCCCTAGCCCCTGCCTGATTGTTCTGTGGGTTAGTGGCTTCCGACCCAAAAAAGGTTCCGCATCCCTGGTTTAAATCCTGTCCCGTATAGGAATGCCTTCCCCAGTTTTCCAGACCTGAAAAAGAGGTTTCTAGGCTTGAAAGCTTATTAAAAAGTCTGAGGGGTAGCTGTGTTAGTCTGTAACTTTAAAAACAGCGAGCAGCTCTGTGGCACCTTAGAGACTAACAAAAATATATAGGATCATGAGCTTTGTGGGCAAAACCCACCTGATCAGATGATGAGCTGGGTTTTGCCCACAAAAGCTCATGACCCTATTTATTTTTGTTAGCCTCTAAGGTGCCACAGGACTGCCTGTTCCTTGAAAGCATCTCTCTCACCAGCAGAAACTGTTTCCATTGTTCAAATTGGGGTCTTTGTGCTCATTGTGTCATATTTTGGCATGTTAACCGTTAGTTATGGATATGAAATCTGTTCTTACTCAAGGGTTGCTTAGAAGCCAAAGGACAAGACAGTGGGCCATAATCAAAAGGTATATTTCAGCTCTCTTCAAATGGTGAATCTGATACTCCTGTCTTAAACTATGTGAGCAAAGATACGCATTCTGGAACACAACATTCATGCCAGCTATTAAACTGGTCAGCAGGCAAGCAGATGCTGCTTTGTTAAAACATAGGCTCTTCATATTCTTTTACAGTCTGAGGATGCTACTTTTTTGAGATTTCATGTCTTATCTCATTTAGCACAAAGCCAGATTTGATATGGAACTGACCTATATCTTCCAATGCCATTCTCTTATTAAAACAAATAGACCTTTATCTCAGCAAATATCAAGGGCCAGGAGCCTCTGTGATCCTGGTGGATGGTAAAAGTGTATTAGACAGGCATAGGCTTTTGCCAAAAGCAGCTTTCTTAGTTAACTCTGCTACAGCAATCTCTTATGGTGGCTCCCGTTTGTGTTCATTAGTGGGTTTAACGAACACATAGACAGGAGCCACCAGAAGAGGTGGTGTGGAATAGGGATGTAAGGGACTGGTTGACTATCTGATAAGCAAATGCTTATCGGATAGTCGAGTAGCAACTTGATTAGTCGCTTCCCCCCCCCCCTTGCTGTCTTTATCAGAGAGAGGCAGCAAGGAGGGAGAGCAGAAGCCGATGCTGGGGGGAGCTGGCTTTAAGCCGGTTCCTCTCAGCACTGGCTCCGCGGGGGGCAAGGGAGGCATAGACACAGCGGGAAAACGGTGCGACTGGGGGCTGCTTTAGTCCCTGCTCCACTGGTTCCCACTTTAGTCGCTTCCCCCCCCCCCTTGCTGTCTTTATCAGAGAGAGGCAGCAAGGAGGGAGAGCAGAAGCCGATGCTGGGGGGAGCTGGCTTTAAGCCGGTTCCTCTCAGCACTGGCTCCGCGGGGGGCAAGGGAGGCATAGACACAGCGGGAAAACGGTGCGACTGGGGGCTGCTTTAGTCCCTGCTCCACTGGTTCCCACTACAGGCACTTCTCACTATCAGAGGCAGCGGGGGGGGGGGGGGGGGGGGT